TCCACTCTCTTCCTCCCCATTCATTTGCTCCCAGGTGCTCTGATCAGACAAGTCCCTCTCCCCTAGCTGCAGCTTCAGTGTGTCCTCTAAAGTAAATTCTTCTGTGGGGAGGGGCAGTTGTCCAAGTAGCTGGTATGGGGGCCGAGCCCTCAGGCCCCTCCACTGGCTCCCCACTCCATGCCAGCAGGCTGCATTCCCATCCCAGAACACTGGATTTAAGTCTGGTCCCTCTTACCCTGTGGAGACACAAACAATACCCTCCCCTGGGGTGGGTCAGTTTTTTTTTTCCCCCTTTCCTACCCCCCCCCTTTTTAGTTGGCTATCATATGTACCCCTGGATTTGGTCTGGCCCCCGTGAATCACTCTATTCTTCTCCGAGGGAACACACCCAATAATAACAGTGAATCACAGCCGTTTTGTGCTCTTTAATGGATTTGACAAAATGCCAGAGCTCACGGAATAAAAGGAACTTGAAGTAAAGGAAGCTCTTTGGACTCTGGCTTAGTACATTATTCTGAATATTGGGACCAATAAACATTTTAGTTGCCTGATACAGGAAGGTTTTTTTATAAATCAAATTAAAACCATTGATCACCATGCTCATATTTTAAGTAACCATCTTATTCAGTGAGGCAATTTCTCAGGCATAGCGTATAGCTAAGTCAGGGGCACTTCCAACTTAGAGTTTAAAATGAAATCCTCTTTTGCTTATCTTGGCTAACAGATATTACAGAGCTTACCAAAAAAGCTGGCATTGCTACTAAGACACTGTTACTCTTCACCTGTCTCTAGAAGAGAAGCAAGTACACATGGAATTCTGTGTAAGATCTCAGGCAATATAGAAAAGGAATAGACACCATTAGTCTATTACACCCAAAGGGAAATTTATAAAACGAAAGAACTCTAAAACACCACTTAACAAGGGACACTTATATAAGAAGCAACTTGAATTTGCAGTGAAAGAAAGCTGTGAAGAGTTTTCTTTCAACTTCCATGCAAATGTTCCAAGGACTATTGATAGCCAAGTTAAAGAATTTAAAAGATTTTCATGTGAGTGCTAGAAGACTATCAATTTCAGTTTTTAAACATTCTATAATGCCACTTTCCTAGTTTATATTAAATATATAATCATTATATTATAAAAATTATAATCATTATAAAAAACTTAATCACTTGGATTTTGTATACATTCTCACCCAAGTGGGATTGAATCCTACTTTTAAAAGTATATTTCATATCTGTATTAAAAGATGCATCTAACGATGTAACCAAAATTTCCATTGATGCAGAAAAGTCAATGAATTATATGAGATTTAGGGAACCCTGGGATTATATTAAGACTAAAAACAATGAACTGAAATCCAAACAGTAAAACATATACACCAAAAAACTTTCTGAAATAAAAGTTTGTTTTGTGGCTTGAAAGTATCATATATATGTGTGTAGAAAGAGAGAAGAGGGGAGACAGAGAGAGGATGGGGCAGGGGACAGAAAAAAAACTATTCATTACTTTATTTTTCCTATTAAAAATAAAAGAAACCCCCACCAAAAAAAAAAACCTCATAAAGATTTTTAGGTCTATGTCATCCTTCCACCAACAATAATCATAGACAGGAACGGAAGAAGCATTCACCACTCCCTGATGAATAATAAAGTGGCCAACAGTAGCCTCGGGTATTGAAGAGATTTAACCACACAGATGTGCACACAGAGAGTGTGGCTTAGCTTCATATTAATTATAATTATCCTTGAATTCTATTGCTCAAATTGCTCTCTCTAATGTAGGATAAGAAGTCTTTGCCTTTGGACTCAGTGCAATAGTTGTTTTATTCCCCTCAATCTGAAAAGTTTTATATGAAATGTCGATGTCCCATCTCAGAAGCACCAAATTCCACAGGCCAATCGACTTCTGTCACCTAAAGATACAGGTATGCTTGCGAGACTTTCCTTAAAGGTTCCATGAAAACAACAGGCACAGATTTCAGAGCCTTTGCACTTTCAACCTTAAGGTTGAAAAGTGGGCTTCCATATTGGTATAGGAAAGGAATCAGTAAAATACCAACTCATGTACCAGGAGAGCATTTATTCCTAACAATTCAGGAAAGTCAGGAGATGTGGGTCAATCTGTGCCCATTTCTGAAAGACAGGTTCCTCTGGGTACTTGTTCTGAAATTCTTTCAGAATGTGGCCAAAGCCATTCCATTTTAATAAGCCAGTTCACATAATACTAAGCAAGCCAGAACATTTCAAGACAAGACGTTTTCATTTATGCAACCAGTAAAAACAGAGCTCCAAGCTGAAAGTGTCATGATAAAAGGAATTGGGAGCAGCTGACTTTAGGGAAGCACAAAAACAACCCACCCTTACGCCTCAAGGCATCAGAGAATATGCAGCGTCTGCATTGTGCTCTTAGTGTTGAGACAAATCATTCTGCTTTTTTCAGTCAGATTAACTGATGCCAATGGATGAGTAATGGCAGAAATAAATGTATAGAATGAGACCTGTGGCTTGAGGAGATGAATAATGCCTGTATCACAAAGTCATGAGTTATGTCTTCTTCTGTGTAAATTCCTTTTACGTATACTATGAGCAACACATCTAGGGATACTAGAATATGTATTATTCCTTGTATGCGAGAGTCAAATGTTTTCTGCTAATCATAGTTTAAACTATGAGGGAGTGTATAGACCTGGATCTTCCAAAAAGGATTGGTGGCCTTTTTTGGGGGTGGGGGACTAGGGTGTGTGTGTAGGGGAAGAAGATAAATCAAGGGATGAAAGGATTATGTGATAAATCCCCTTGAATTCATTTGGGAGTAGCATATCTGCATACATAAAATAACTATGGAGGAGTTCTTTGAAATGGATTCAAATGGATACAAGGGCTAGAAATGGAATGCTGTCCTTGAACTCTTGTCCAATCCTTCCGTCGTTAAGTTAGGTTCTTTAAGCCCATTTTATGGATGAGGGAATTGAGACACGAGATGCTATGCTAAAAAGTTCGTAAAGTGATAGAACCAGGATTCGAACCTAGACAATTTAATTCCAACACCTATGCCCTTCACCACTGCATTGTCTTGGTGCTGTATATCTGACTGCTCAGGACGCGGTGACTTCCTTCTGGACTCTGGCTACTTCTGAGCATTGCCATTACTTTGGAATTTATGCTATAAATAGCAATCTTAGAATGTGACATTTTTTTCTTAGAAACACCCCACCACCACCACCACCAATATACCAGGAAGCAAGTATTCAAGAGCTCAGACGTTTGTAAAGAGACCATGCCAACGTTTAAAGTAGACATTCACTAGGGCTAAGAGCATCGCTCCCTTACAATTCCCAACTGGCAGGTGACTCAGTCAGACATCACTCCAGACTTCCCTAAACCCAGTGCTCCACCCAATTCAGTAACCGCTGTTGCTGCTGGCAACAGGACACCACAGCACAGGAAGTGGAGATGCTATTTTAGACTGAATGAGAACAGGAACACAAAACTCACAGCCAGGGGGTTTTGACTCAGAGCGACCCTAGGAGGCCCGATATTCCGCAATGGCCACAGAGGACATTTGCCTCATATACCTACATTCCCAAGTACCTTGTTCTGATTCCTGTATTGAACCCCACGAAATTATGTGAGGCGACCCTTCTCTCGGTTTCCCAGTCCTATGACAGTACAGCCGCGTTTGCGTCATCAATTAAGGCTAGAAATGGGGCTCTTGGATAAAATGCGAATTATGAAATTATCCAAGGTCTCTGCCTTAGGGCAGTTTATGGACTTAAATTTTATTAAATTTAACGTAGAGTCAACAGCGGCCTCTCAAGGAAGAGGAAAGGCTTTTGCTGTGAAAAAGAACGGAGTGAAAACCTCGAAATGAAGCATTGCCTTCAGGTTTGATGGACGGTTCCGTCAAGCCAAGTGCCACAACGAGGCAGGGCGGCCCACAGCGCGCGCGCAGGCCGCTGCTCTCGGATACTGGGGAGGAGCCAAGCAGACCGCGTCAGTCAATCCGACCAATCACGCATCTCTCCCGCCTCTCCCGCGGCCCCGCCTTATGATGCCCCGCCCCCTGAGGATGGGGCTCTCGGTCGCGCGCCCAGATAAGCCCGCCCCTTTCGAGCCCAGGGTGAAGCGGAGCTCCGCGCGCGTGGCGATCCGTCCAATCGTGAGTCTCTCCCGCCTCCTGCGCAGCCCCGCCCCTGCGTGGCGGGCGCTTTACGTCGCAACAGCGCGCGCTTCCGGCACGCTCGGTGCCTGGCGGAGGCAGGTACCGTGCTTAGCGGCTAATGGGCTGCAAGATGAACTTATTAATTGGGGTCTCGTGTGAAGTCGATTTGAATTCTCTTCCGGCGGCCGTCGGGGGATCTTTCAGCTTCACTTCGAGACTGGGGTCCCTCGAGGGCTAGGGTGGGTTTCCTGTCATGATGGGATAAGCCCCAATCGAGTGGATGTCTTGTGCTTGAGGAAACTAATCAACCCTCCTTTTAGGGACTCTTTGCTACTTAAACTGGAACTACGCGGGCTTGCGGGGAACCCCTTCTCCTTGTCCTGTATGGTCACCGAGTTCTGGCAGTGTGCTTATGCGCCAGCCTTGGAGGGGCGCCGAATGCGGCCACCCACGTAGCTTGCAAGGGTCAGAGTGGTGTGTGTCAAGTGTGAGGGTGCGTTTTGGGTCGAGGATTTGGTTTCGTTTTCTTCAATATGAAGCTGGCATAACCAAACTAAGGAGATTTTGATAGTCCAAATTCATTATCGTCACCCTATCCCCACACCCCGCTGTGGCCATCTTTGAAGAGAGAAAAACAAGTAGTCCTCTTTAAGTGAGACACTAACCGGGTGTGCATAGGAAAGTTCAAGGAAAATTAGTGTTGTAGAAAGAGCAAGAACCAATCACTCTAAAAAACAAACTTTGCGCCATCAAGTCGATTCTGACTCATAGCGACCCTGTAGGATGGAGTAAACTGCCCCTGCGGGTTTCCTAGACTGCCACTGTTTACAGTACTGGGTGGTTTCGAACTGCTGATCTTGCAATTAGTCGCTCAACCCCAGGGTTATTTGAACTAATCACAGTGAAGTGAAATTTGAGGAAATTGCTGGCTTACTTGTGGACGTTAATGTACATCAACCCCTAAATTCTTTCATAAAAAATGGGGGACTACAGAGAGGGATGACTTAATCTGATAATCATTTTGTGATTCTGTTTCTTAGAATTCAAGGCTTCACGCTCAAGATGGAAAGGCCGTCAGACCCAGCGTTGACGTCACCCACCACGCCACAGGCTTGTGAGATCCCGCCATCTCCCCATACTCATAGCTCAGGAAAGCAAGTATGAAAATCATAGTTCTTCCAGCTGGATCCAATCCGTGTTCCTAAGGGTGGTGGCAGTGATGGTCTTAAGTCTATTGAAGATGGTTAATTAACATAATATGTTGCCTTCCAAAGAAAATATATTAAATACGGAACAGTTTTAGCTATTTATTCTGAGATTAACATTTGACCTCACCCTCCTATTTGTTTCTTCTTGAATCAGTCATTTTCCTCACAGGTTATATTAACAGCTCTTCCAGGTAGGGGAAGTTTGGATATGTGCAGTGTTGCCCTTAGAAGGTTGTTGGTGGCAGGGTCTAGGCATTTTCCTTTGTCACTTGGAAGCACCTAGAATGCTGCCCAACACATGTCCGTGACTACTAGGAGAAGGCTCCCAACCTTTTAAAAGGATATTGATCTTGCTAAAGTGAAAAAGAAATTATACCAAGGGAGCCTCTGGGATTATAAGCTTTTTTGTAATGGGTTCTTACATGGCAACAGGAAGCTGTTTAGTGGTGTCTATTAAATGAGGAGCCCTGCTGGCAATGATGAGTAAGCACGTCAGTGTTCAAACCCACCAGTCATAATGTAGGAGAACAAAAAAAAACGACCTACTGCTTCTGTAAAGCTTTACAGCCTTGAAAATCCTATAGGCAGTTCTACTCTGTTGTATAGGGTTGCCCTGTAGGGTGGAAACTGGACGGCACCCGGCCACCACCGAAGAACTATCAACAACCGCCATAGAAATGCAAAGCCTTTATGTCTAGTTAACTTTTTTAACACCAAGAACGTTTTTTGTGCCTTTTCAGCCTATGAGTGCAACACTGAGGGAACGATTAAGAAAAACAAGATCATCGTTTCATTCCTGTTACAGCACCGTGGTCAAACGTCTTAAAGTTGAGGATGAAGAAAGAGATGAGAGTTTCTCAGACAAGTCCATCTCTTCAACAGATGAAAACTGTTTGGGATTTCAAGAAAGTGTGAAGCACAGAGGCCGTGAGTTTGAAGAAAGTACATACTTGAACAGTGCCATCCAGGACATCAGTGCACGTGATGCTACGCCACTTGATGGTGGGCCAAGCAGTGCTCGCCAAAATACTTCTGTCCACGAGAACCTTCCCTCCCCAGGAGGGGGACGGGAAGAAAGAGCAATGTTGGTAAAGCAGATTCAGGAGAAAGAAGACTTTCTTCGGAGGCTAAAACTAGTCAAAATGTATAGATCGAAGGTGAGAGGAACTTCAGAACCATTGTGTAAAATTTGTTCGTTGTTAGATTACAGGAAGATAATTTTCTGTTCTCAACAACAGAAAACCTTATATTTAGCATATAAAGCCTTAAGCCAAGTCTCTAGAAATCTGGTTTCGATTAATGTTAGCGCAGAGATTTAGAGAAGAAGACGCCTAGAAGGACCAGATACATCCTTTCCAAAATCCCAGCTAAAGCTGACCACTTGGCTTTTATTTCATAATCAGCTGGAGCTTTTATCTCTGGTTTCCAGCCAATAGAAATACTAGAAATGTAACTATTAGTGTAGGCCTCAAGGAGACAGAAGTGACAGTTAATAGTGAGTGAAAAAGCTAAAAGTGGCCCATCCAATACAATAAATATTTTTAGTAACCATCACGTGTCTCCCTCAAATAATGAAAATTCCAGGCATCCTGTGGGAGAAAACAGATTTGTGTGAGATTTTACATTTCAGTTCGGGTAAGTTGAATTAGAGCTGGCAGACTAGGAAGGAAATGACTGCCGTCTGGGTAACTCACATCTATGCCAGAGCTCGTTTCCCCCAGCACTGTGGAGCAAATGGTGCGCTAGCGTATCTCATTTGCTCTCGGATGTTAGGCTTTTTCTAAATAAGACTACTTGAGCGTTTTAAGATTTTGAATGTTGAAAATACTTTAAATTTTGGATGCTACTTTGTTTTAAAGTACAGCTGTAATATTGAAAAGATTTTTCAAAAGCCTAGATTATTGCTTCGCAACAAAGCTTTTGCCCAGTGAATGATCTGGGATAAGGATGGCTCAGAATTTGAACCATAGAACTCAACCCTTTGAATTATAATTTTATTTAGCACAGTGATTCTCAACCTTCTTAATGCCATGACCCCTTAATACAGTTCCTCATGTTAAGGTGACCCCAACCATAAAATTATTTTCGTTGCTACTTCATAACTGTAATTTTGCTACTGTTATGAATCGTGATGTGTTTTCCAATGGTCTTAGGTGACCCCTGTGAAAGGGTGGTTTGACTCCCAAAGGGGTCTCGACCCACAGGTTGAGAACCGCTGATTTAGTACATTTCACTTTTCTGTGGGTAAACATCATGTTCGTGCTCAGATGTGTTAGTCATTAAATATACACACATACCAAAACTGATTGAACTTTTATGTGCAAAGAGCATGACTACCCAGTTACTGACATACAGTCATATATACCTAAGTCTATATCTATAAAGAGCCCTGATGCTGCTGTGGGTTAGGCGTTGGGCTGTTAGCTGCAAGGTCAGTGGTTCAAACCCACCAGCTGCTCTGTGGGAGACAGATGAGGCTGTCTGCTGTTATAAAGATCTACACTCTTGGAAGTCCTACTACATAGCGTCGCTATGAGTCAGAATCGTCTCGGTGGATGTGGGTTTGGCTTTGATATCTATTTTTTCCCCCATTTGTCTGTTTCAGAATGACCTGTCTCAGATACAGTTGCTGATAAAGAAGTGGAGAAGCTGTAGCCAGCTGGTGCTTTATGAGTTGCAGTCAGCTATGTCTGAGGAGAACAAGAAACTAAGCCTGACGGAGTTGATAGACCACTATGGGTTAGATGATCAATTGCTACACTACAACAGAAACGAAGAAGAATTTATAGGTATTTAATTCATAGTTTTTCTGTGACAGTGACAACCTAAAGAAGGTGCTTTCTAACTTTTAAAGGGACAGTATATACCATTGGGGTACTCTGTTACATAAGTATAAACTAAGTTCTAATATTTCATATTTTGAAATTTAATATTTGTATAAATTTGCCAAAGAAAACGACATTTAAAGAAATGTGATCAAAACACCATTAATTATGTTTAAAAAATAAGTTGGACAATTTCTGGAATCCCTTTTTATAGTTGCTTATTATGGCAAAAATATTTAATTTCAAATGTTAATAAATGGTCTAGTTGGTAGCTGTCTAAGCCAGTGCTTCCCAAAGTGAGTGGTACTTCCCCCTGGGGGTAATGCTAGAATGGTTCAGGCCCTGGATCATGAGCTATAGTACTGGAATGTTTATTGCCAGGGGTACAATGAGTAATTTAAAAAACTTTTTCTGAAAAGGAGGTAGTTAGGTCAAATAAATTTAGGAACTTAATGATCTAACCCTAAACAGGTCTTAAAATGCTGTTCTGAAAATGCCTACCTCTTTTCCTCAGTTCATGACCCTTGATAGATGCATTTCTCCATACTCCATCTGGATGCAGATAATCCAGCTCATATGTCCCAAATTATATTCTTCCCTGCCTCTTTTTGAAGTCGTTTCTCGTATCCATTTCATATAGTGTGATGACCATCTGTTGCTTATAAGAAGGACTGATCATTTCCCACATCAAAGCTTCATGGCATTCAAACTTCCTGCATCTACTTTCCCAGCGTTATCTGTGAAACAGATTACCCGGAGAGTGTCTACCCAGTTCACAGCGATGCCCCTTCAGACACGCCCCATCCACAGGCTTGAGTTTCTGACTGCCAGGTTGTACAATATTAACTTTTAGCCCAGCTGAGAGTTTGGGAAAGAAAGCCCGTGTTTTTGTGGATGAAATTTATATGTAAACCTGGGGCAGCAAAGTTGTTGAACTTAAGGATAATACGTGCATTTACAGAAAAGGCAGAGAGGATGGAGGTTAAATTAATCTTTCCAGGGTTCCTCCTTTTGGGTTCTTTTAAAAACAAAAAATGTACTAAAGGTGGATCGGTGGGTACTTTTGAAGAAAAGTACTTCCCTACAAGTTGGTAAATAGCCAGCACCCTGAGGCCTTCCCCACCCTTTCTACCGAGCCCCTCCTCCCTGATCTAATAGCCCCTATCACACAAGAGGGACCTCGGGACCCTGTTCTCATGTCCGTTCTAAGAGTGTCTGTGATGGTTAGTTTCATGTGTCCAATTAGTGCTCTAGTACTATATCTAATACTACTATCCAGCACGAATGTAGGTATTGCTGTGAAGGCATTTTGTACGTGTGGTTAACATGTCCAGTCAGTGGATTTTGAGTAAAGGGATGACCCTTGATTGTGTGGGTGCTTTAAAGGGTAAAAACAGCTTCTCTGAAAGGAAGAAATGATGCTTCAAGGCTGCAGCCCTGTCTGCCTGGGTTCCCAGCCTGCTGGCCGCCTCCACAGATGCTTGACTTGCCAGTCCCCACAAGCAGATGGGCCAGTTCCTTAAAATAATTCTCCCTCTCTCTGTCTCCCATTTTTCTGCAGAATCCGGACTGTCCTTACCCACATGCTTTCCTCCCCATCTTTGCCGTCTAGACACCACCATTGCCACTGGTTTCTCCCGTGAACTTGAGAGGTCAAGCCCAGCCTTCCCGGGGCCTGCCTCCTAGGGAGTATATCATTTTAGTGCCAATCTGTCAGCCTCCATCACAGCCCGTTTCTCTGCCACAGGGTCTTGATTTGGCAGGGGAGGCAGTGCCCCTGGTGGTGATGTTGGCATCCTGGTAGACAATGCGTGGCACTGGACTAGTAGTCCTCAGAGGCTGCCTTCTGGAGGGGGACTGGTGCATCCTGGAGTCTCCCTCACATGGCGACTGTGGGAACTACAGCGTAGGTGGAACTGATGGAGGTTGGTAATGAGGATTCCAATGAGGCTGCTCCCACTAGCTGCTCAAAACTCCCAGGGGTAGGTCTTCCCTGGCCTGCAGGGCAGGTGTGAGTCAGTGAGTTTAACTTTTGTGTTTTAATGAGATACATCTATTTAAAAACTACTGAATACTATATTTTTATTAATAAGCATGAGGATGGCACTTAGACTTTGTACTGGTGTAAAAAGTATATTAATTTGGGGATTATAATGATCAACACCCCCATTTTAAAGAGCTAGAAAAAAAGTCTATAGCAGTGTTCCCAAATGGGCCATTGCACCCCCTGGGGGATGCTGGAATGATGTGCGTGTGTTTGTATCTGTGTGTGTGTGTGTGAAAACATACACTATTCTGGGGTATGCGCAATAGTACAGGTTATTAATTGTGGGGGTGCTGAGTAATTTTTTTTTTCTAAAAAGGGAATAGTAGGTCAAATAAATTTGAGGACCTGTGGTTGGTAGTGTTGCTACGAGTTGAAATTAGCACCATAGCAATAGGTGGTAGTGTTTTTTAAAAATAAAAATATGAAAGTAATCACTGCCAGTTTGGCAGAAGATGAGAGAAGTCAGTACAATGCACTGTGTCAAGTGAAGAGGTGGAGTGTGAACTGTGCCTTTCCAAAGCCCTGCCAACTCCCAAAGCCACACGGTCCTTCTTCTGATGAAAGGAGTCGTACTTCAAATGGGATGTATCTTGGGGCAAGAGGCTCCTGCTAATCCCTACTCCATCCAGATCTCAACAGCGTTCAAGTGGGAAGGACTTCCCACCTCACCCAGGTGGCTACAAAGAAATAGAAATCACGCAGACTTACCCTTTATTAAAACCTGGGAACCTGCAGAGCGTTACCAAGTGAAATTTGTGGCAGTGATATTAGCAAATGGAGTCTCCAAGCAGCTAATGTAGGAGATAAAGGAATTTCTATCACCGAGAAAAGAAAACCAAAAACAACAAAAACAAACTGGCTACACCTGTGATTTACTTAAACCTACAGAACTGACTTTTACAAGGTTGGTGGTTCAAACCCACCAGCTGCTCTGCAGGAGACCAATGAAGCTGTATGTGCCTTTAAAGAATTACATTATCAGAAACTATATGGGGTTGCTATGAGTGAATCAACTTGATGGCAGTGAGTGAGCTATAGACTCTTAGGCCATAACGTTGAGCCCATTTACAATATATATAAATCAGAAACATTCTAATTCCTAGTGACCCTGACCCTAGCTCAGAGTAGAACTGTTCCCTGGAGCTTCCTAGAGTGTAAATGTTTGAAGGAGCACACAGCCTCATCTTTATCCTGCTGAGTTGGACCACGGACTCTGGTTAGCTGTCAAAAGCTGTACCCACACTATGCCAACAATTCTTCTCATGGGTATATACACAAAAGGGTTGAAAATGTACCCCAATGTTCACAGTAGCACTCTGTCATAGCTAAAGGTTGGAAGCCACCCAAATGTCCATCAGCTGATGAATGGATAAACTGAATGTGGTATGTCCATGCAGTGGACGGGATTCGGCTATGAAAAGAAGTGAGGAGCTGATAAGTGCTATAACAGATTGACATTGACAACGTTGCACTCCACAGAATCTAGACAATATATATGAAAGGTGCAAATTGATGGGGAGGCCGCACTTCCTGGCTGGCCTGGTGCTGGGGGCCCGGCCAGACTGTGAAGTGCCCCCAGGCCTTAGGGGCATGCCTCCACACCAGTGAGGAGGAGTTCAAGGCCTTTTGGAGGCCGATCCTGGCATGGATGAGAATCAGGATAATGCTCCCGAAACACTCGAGCGGTTTGCATTAATCCAGGCAGCGTATGATGTTTTGCGTGACACTCAGGAAAGATCCTGGCATGACACTCAAAGAGAGGCCCTGCTCAGAGGTGACTGTGATGACAGGTACCTAGACGAACAGCTGAGATTTGCTGTGCTATTTCCGCTGTGACTCCGGCTATGGAGAGGATGAGAAGGGTTTCTTCGAGGTGCAGCATAATGTTTTTGAAATGATTGCAAAGGAAGAGCTAGAATTGGTGATAGGAAGTAAGTCGTGGAGGATCCTGCCAACCTTTGGACACTCAGAGTGACTATGACACCGTGGGCCATTCTTTCTAGCTAACTGGCAGAACAGCTGCACACAGAACTTCCTGTGGAAAGAGGAGTGTGACACAGCTTCAAACCACTGGGAGGTGCGAGCCGTGGAAAAGGGAAACAAGATTCTTGACAAAGCAAAGGAAGAGAGGAATGAACTGGTCCAACAGTTGGCAGCTGCTTTCCTGCAGAAACGAGATAAAAGTGCAGGCTTGCTGGAAACTGGTGGAAGCACCGAACGCAGAGAAGGCGAGGAAAGAAGGCAAAGAGATGCGAAAGCAGCCAAGCTGCAGAGCCTTACGCAGGGCAGAACTGGGGTCGGTGGCCAGTCTGGAGAAGGAGCTCCGGGAGATGGACGCACGCTACGGAAAGGGGTTTGGAGATGGATCGGAGGAAGATGACATGGAGGAGCTTGAGAGCCGCGATATGGACAGGAGGGTAAGGAGGACAGGGATGAAGATGAAGATGCTGATCTTATCGATGACCTTTGCTGCCCAGTAGGTGACAAATCATTCAAGACAGAGAAGGCTCTGAGGAGTCTGGAAAAGTAATCAAAGCACTGAGAAATGGTTGCCTCCCTAAAACAGCAATTGGAAGAGGAGGAAGAACAGTTTTCAGGACCTCAAACGGATGAAAATACAGAACTGGCAGTGCCAATTCTGAGGAAGAAGTGGAAGATTCCCCCAAACAAAAAACTTTCTAAAAAAAATAGAAGAAAAAGAAACAGAAGCCAGCACAGAGTTGTGATGACAATTTGAATGAAAATGTAACTGGAGAGTAAAGGTTAATCCAGAAGATACCAGTTTAAACCAGGACAGTGCCAAAGATTTGGGAGACAGTCCCCTTGCGCCCTCCCCCACAAAATCAGTGTCATGAAGACCACTGAATAGTGTGACAATCCAAAATATACTAAAAATGTTCTGAAAGCCAAAGATATGCCCCCAAACAAAACCTGTCAGAGTACCTGTTGAGCAAGAAAAACTGAATGATGTTCTAATCAGCTGTTCAATTTGCCATGATAAATTTCCATCCCAGAATAAACTCTTTGAACATCTAAAGGCCAAGGGTCATTGTGATAGGTAGGTAGGTTTATTGCGCCAACCTGGCCAATAGGAACATGTGGGATTAATAAAGGTCACAGCTTGGAGGGCAAAGAGATAAATGGCTTAGCAAGGCCTACCCCTCTTTCTCTCATACTCTCCAGTGAATGGACCAGCGTGTAGCCCCTTTAGCTAGTTCTTTGCCTCAACTTGTGAGTTACATTACCTGTGGGACAGGCCAAGCCATGGATCATGTCACTAGAGCTTGAGTTTTCTTAGAGACCCACTTCACCATGCTGCTGGTGTATTCATCGCTTGAGTTTAAGGCTGTCAGATCCTGGCTTAACGTTGCTTGAGTTAGATATCCCATCTGGGCCTGATTAGCTAAGCTCCTGGGCTGCTGACTGTTAGTGACCCGCCCTGCTTTGTGCTGCCTGTGGCTGGACTGCCTGCATTGTTCTAGGGAAGACTCAGCTGTCTGCTTCCTTGACCTTGGACCTAGCAGCCCTTGTGAGTGGAAGGACGTCCTGTATATTAACTGTTACATGGAAGTGAGTTGAACTGAGCTCTCTGTATTGCTGTGTGGGCCGATTAGCCATTGTATTCCTTTATGCTGTATAAATAAATATATATATATATATATATATTCATATATTCATAAGTGTCCAGGTTTTGTTTTTCTAGAGATCCCTGCCTAACATAATTGATACCACGAGTGGTTCTAGAGAAACAAGATCATAAATATGGGCTTCTCAAATTGCCTCTCCAGCCTGATTAGGCTTAACAGCACTGATAGTACTATCTTTACTCCTAAAGGCATGGATAAGTCTGCCACTCTTACTAGAGTGGGTGGTGTTAATCCATGGTCTGAAGTAGCAAAGCTAATATCCACAGTGTCATCACCAATAGATGGAGTGCTGGTGAGAGGAGAGGCTCTGGGTGATTGTGTTTGATATTTTCCAGCAGTTTTGTCAGGATGAGACATATAGGGGAGTTGGTTGGGTGGTCCTCCTTACAAGAGAAAATGTGATCTAGGAAAGGGATAATCTCAGAACCTCATAAGCAGGTCTCAAGTGCCGAATAACAGACCTAAAAACTTCTGCATGTGCTAGAAAGGAGAATCTTCTCTCCTCTAGTAATAGAGCTGGCAGTGCTGAAAACCAAATCCAGGGTCTCATCTTACCAGTAGCTGAATTACAGCATCAGCTGAATTGCAGGTCTAGAACAGTGTCTGATAATAGAGTAAGGGCATTATTCGGAAAGAATTGGGACCCTGAAACATGGGATGAGAACATACGTGCTGATGATCCAGAAGAGGAGGATTTTGAGCACCTAGAGTTGATTGAGTCACCCCACTCAATAAATCCACCCCTCCCACCTGAGGGGATCAATCCACTATCAGTAAAACAGCTCACACTTGAGCAGATTAACCAAACTGTTCAAGCTGCAATGCCGGATGGGGC